AGACCACCTGTCAGAGAAACACCTTCAAGAAGAGAGTTCAAGAGATTCCCAAGAGAAGTGTAGATGGACTAGTGGTCTGAGTCAGCATAAGGCAGTTTCCTGTTGGTCATAGCTCAGAGACAGAGCATCCGCTTTGCATGCAGGCCTGAGGTCCAGGTGGGACTGGGAATGTCCCCTCTCTGAATCTCTAGTGTGTCACTGCCAATCAAGACAGAGGATAATAAGCTAAATAGACAATTTGAGATTTGATCGACTTTGTTGATTATGCCTGTTCTATACAAATGAGCTCTAAAATTCTAAAAATGCTACCTGAAGATTTCCAGTGGAAGTCTATTGGTTTCAAAGAAACCAAGAAAACCAGGCAAGTGTCACATGATCACTGCACAGGTAATTTGTTATTGACGGATGGGAAATGTCAGAAAAGAGGCAGTTCTAGGTCATCAACTCTGTTTATAAACAGAGGGGGAAATGTAAAATGTTTAACAAGACAGATATAATGATTAACACACTGCCCTTCATTGCTGGACTTAATCTGAAATTGTATGGGTTTTTTTAAAAGTAAATGTTCTTACAATGGTACAGTGGTACCTTGGGTTACAGACACTTCAGGTTACAGACTCGGCTAACCCAGAAATAGTACCTCGGGTTAAGAACTTTGCTTCAGGATGAGAACAGAAATTGCGCAGCGGCGGCGCGGCAGCAGCAGGAGGCCCCATTAGCTAAAGTGTGCTTCAGATTAAGAACAGTTTCAGGTTAAGAACGGACCTCCAGAACGAATTAAGTTCTTAACCCGAGGTACCACTGTAATAGTTTCTTTAGGTATTTTGACAGATAATAATAGCTATTCTGTTTCAAGGCATTCCAAAATAATAATAAAAAAGGATTTGATAAGTGGCAATTATCAGGCAATGTGTTGTTTTCAGTTCTGATATATTTTGTATTTGTGATTTCAAATCATTTCCTTGATTCTTTCTTTTGTCACATTCTAGCATAACCAAGAGCTAGAACCTAGGGTGGAGCTTCGCAGGTGAAGCACATGTGATTACAGCAATGCAGGAATTAGTTACTTTGGTTCTCAGTGGCTCCTCCTTTGAGTTCTGAGGGACAAAGTAAATAAACGAGTTGCAGCCTAGGACTATGGTTTTGAATTCTGCTCTGCAGTTGGGAAAACTGGTCTGGAAACCACAGCCAAAGATGGAAAAGGTAGCCTTCTTAGCAAGCAAGCATCTTTAAAAGCCGTAGCAAGTTTGAGGAGCCATACATGTTTTCCCTAACAGCAGGCAGCAGATGTATATCCAAATGATTACAATTAGAAGACTAACAAAGGTTTAGCAAGAACTGCAATACACACACCCAGATGATTTGGGATTCTTTCAGAATATCTAAATCTTCAGGTGGGGGCTAAATATAAGGAATAAATAAAAAGTGGCTCCATGCTCTTCACATTTACTATCCTATTGATTCTTGTAGGTTGAATTATGATTCCTTCATCCAGATAAGCACTGAGGCTTAGAGAAATAACGTTATCTAAGGCCACCATTGAATTCATGGCTGAGCTAAAATTTGAATCTAGGACTTCCAGGCTTGTAGCCTGTGCTTTATACTTCTGCATGCACAACCACTCTACCATATTCAATCAAACTGTCATTTTAAAATCCACAATGACAAAAGTTCAGTTGTGTGTATCAGTTCACTGATAGCGCTGCCATGTAGCTCAAGGGAGCACACTGAAATATAATGACTGTTATTAAATTGCAAATCTTCTAGTGCCACTGACTCCCAGGGATAAGTCACTTAACTTCTCTGGATTTAATGGAATGGGAATGCAAGTAATTCCTTACTTCATAGGGCTGATATAAGGTGGTAATTGACATTTACAATGTGGCACACAGTTGTAAAAGCTTTTCCTTGCTTTCATTTCACAGCAGTAGTTCTCAATATTCTGTAATGTGAAAGCATCATGCAGATTTCTGAATGTGTTGCCGACATTCAGGCTAAACGCTTCCCAGCTGAGATGCGAGAAGGCACGGTACTTCAGAAGCACTTCATATCGGGATGCAACCAACTAAGTGTTACTCAGAGGAGACCCACTGAGATGAATGAACCTCAGTTAGTGATGCCAATGAGCTTCATCTACTCTGAGTAGGACTAGAATTGGCTGCAACCCATTTTATCAGAATCCATCAGCGTTGGCTGGGACCTAAGCATTTATCTAGTCCAAACTCCTGCTCAGTGTAGGAATGGCAGTGTAGGAGGATGCATCCCTGACGGATGGCTGTCCACCTTCTGCTTTAACAGCTCAGGTGAAGGAGCAGCCACCACCTCTCAATAATCTCTTACTTTTTGGAAGCTTCTCTTAGTGTTGAGCTGAAATTTGCTTATTTTCACCCATTGGCTCTGATAATGGTTGGCTGATTCTGTGTGATGATGAGTATGGAATGTTCAATCAAAATGCAATACATGAAAAAACCGCTCTAATTCTCTTAGCAGATGTTTTTTCTAAACATTTGCCTGCCATCTAGTGGCTCAAAAAAAGTAGTTTGATTAACACTTTTGTCCCTGAAGAAACACACATTTATTTCAATTACAGATGGGTAGCCGTGTTGGTCTGCCATAGTCAAAATAAAAAAATCCTTCCTGTAGCACCTTAAAGACCAACTAAGTTAGTTCTTGGTATAAGCTTTCGTGTGCATGCACACTTCTTCAGATACACAGTATCTGAAGTGTATCTGAAGAAGTGTGCATGCACACGAAAGCTTATACCAAGAACTAACTTAGTTGGTCTTTAAGGTGCTACAGGAAGGATTTTTTTATTTATTTCAATGTGATTGTTCCTTCGGTAAGCCGTCCTAAAGGGGAAATGTTTTTTTTAAATTCTTTGAAAATGTTGTGGCAACAATCTTGGTTTCATAAAATGTTCTCCCAATAAAGGTTTGTGCGGTGAATTGCCATTAGATGTGCTGATTGTTTGCAACTAAAACAGTATTCCATCTTTGTATCTATTTAATGGGTATGTTATGCAGCTCTATTTAATGGGTATGTTATGTCAGCTATACGTCACATCCACTCTAGGCAATTAAAGTGCATGGCTTCAGAGCATGCTGGGAGCTGTCGTGTGTTAAGGGTGCTGGGAATTGTAGCTCTGTGAGGGGCAAACTACAGTTCCCAGGATTCTTGTGGGGAAAGCCATTACTTTGCATGTATGGTGTTTGGAAGCCATGGCACATGTGAAACATGTGACAGGCAGCATGAAATTCTGGCATTCTTGGATTGAAGAGACCTTCTGTGCACCTTTCCTCCAAGCAGCCACATTTTGGCACTCTACCCAAATAGACTGGATCAGTTTTAGAATAATAGGTAAAGGTAAAGGGAGCCCTGACCATTAGGTCCAGTCGCGGACGACTCTGGGGTTGCGGCGCTCATCTCGCTTTATTGGCCAAGGGAGCCGGCGTACAGCTTCTGGGTCATGTGGCCTGCATGACAAAGCCGCTTCTGGCAAACCAGAGCTGCACACGGAAATACCATTTACCTGCACGCCGGAGCGGTACCTATTTATCTACTTGCACTTTGACGTCCTTTCAAACTGCTAGGTTGGCAGGGGCAGGTACCAAGCAACGGGAGCTCACCCCATCGCGGGAATTCAAACTGCCGACCTTCTGATCAGCAAGCCCTAGGCTCTTTGGTTTAACCCACAGCGCCATCCATGTCCCATTTTAGCATAATAAGACATTTTTAATCACAGTCATTCTGGATGAGGCTAAACTGATGCAGGACTGGAAAAAAAACATTTTAAAAATTTAGTACATGAAAGAATAACAGTGCAAGTAAAAAACAAACAGAGCCCATTTATTTTACAAACAAGAGGCTCACTTTGTGAACAGTGCTTCTCACACAAAAAGGCAGCGGGGGGAAAAAAAGAAGCAAACAGCAAGGCTTTCCAGGGAACAAGCACAATTCTAAAGCCTGGCTGGCTAGGTGTGGGCCATCAAGCTCAGAGTATGCTCAATAACCAATATGATTTTGATACAGGCAACCACTGTGCTACCATATGGGGCTGTCCTTGAAGCAGGTAACATGCTCCTCCCCAGTGCTTTTTTCTAGGCGTACATGGGGGTACGCATACCCCTAAACATTTTGTCGATCTTAGTTTGGCCTCATTGAGGGGTAGTATTTCAATATGAATAGGGAAATGAGAGTACATACTCCTAAACATTTTTTTAAAGGAAAAAAGCACTGCTCCTCCCTATCTGCTATAGTGTTGTGTGGAGGCTTCAAACGTAGGTAGGGTAGTAGTGATTTCAGCGGACATCGTTCACGGTTTCCGTTAGGATACATGGAAGGAACTCTTTGCTAGTTAGTGGATGTATGTAGGGCTGTATTTTCATTGGAATGTTGGAAGGTATAGTAAGGTAAAGTTCAAGTTTCACGGTTTTTCCATTTTCAGAGAAAGTACATGGGCAAGAAACGACTCTTTAAGCCTATTTATACTCTTGCTATGCTTTTCGAGATGTGTATGGCTAGCCGGAGGCCTATTGACGCATTGGTCGGAAATGTTGGCAAGGTCTTAAGATAGTAGGACGTCCCCTAATTTCATTCGGGAAATTGCTGGAGGGTATGATAGGAGGTCCCTATTTTCAATGGGGAAATGTTGGAGGCTATAGTAGGACGTCCCAATTTTCATTGGGAAAATGTTGGAGGGTATGATAGGACGTCCATTTTTTCATCGGAGAAACGTTGGAAGATAGGACGCTACCCGACCTCCGAGCCGTCTGAAGGCAACCCTACATAGGGAAGTGCTTTTTAAAAAAAATGTTTCATGTTTTATTATGTTTCAATATATGTCGGGAGCCGCCCAGACTGACCCACCAGTCAGACGAGTGGGAATATAAATCGTAAAGAAAAAAAGCACCCCATGACGGAAGGGGACGTCCCTATTTCCACCGGAGAAAACGTGGCGACGGCTTGCTTGGAAACGCTCCCACTTCAGCACCAGGTGAAAACGTTGAAGCCGCCCACGCCACCCCAAAGGTGCCAACCCTGGGGGCGCCCACCTTAACCCCCCCCAAAGCCAACCGTTCCGGAAAGAGCAGAGCCAACGGTTCCCTCGGGCCTAACCTCCCCTTCCTTTGCCGTTGACGCGCCTCTTAACCTTCCTTCGGAGTCAAGGCGGCGGCGGCGGCGGCGCTTGGTCCCTCAGGCCCGCTTCCTCCGGCGTCGTTTAACGACTCGCCGCCTCGCGCCCGGCTGCCTCCTCGCGAGGCGCACGCGGCCCTTGGGCGGCCTGGCGCGCTTTCCCCCTCAGGCCTCCTCGCGGGGGCCCTTCTTCCTTCTCAGTGTAAGGCGCTTCTGGTTTCTTCTCCCCGAGGGCCGCGTTTCCCCCCTCGAAAAACGCCGCCGAGCCGTTTCCTCCTCCTCCCTCAGGACCGCTTTCCCCTGGGCTGTTGCTGCCCTCGCCTTCCCAGCCCGGCCCTGTAGTTGGAAAGGCCGCCGCTTCTTCGTGCCTCTCCTCAGAGGGGGGAGCCCACCCCCCTCCTCGGATTCGGTCCCAGGTAAACGGGATTGTGGGGTTGCACCCCGAAACCTGGGGAGGAGGGAGGGGAGAAACTGCGAAAGTAAAAACGGGCGAAAGGAAAGGCTTTCGCCCCATTTCCCACCCTGCTTTCGAAGAGCTTTGGGGAGTCGAGGCTTGAAAACAGCCTTTCTCGCTCCCCCCCCTTAAAAAAATACACGGTATTGCCTTGTTTCCTCATCTTTTACTATGCTCCGCTTGACTTTCCAAGAAAGTTGGTATTTTAGCTACCCGGAAGTGAAAGGCGCTGCCATGTTCTGCAGCTCCCAATAAAAACTATCGTGTGTGTGTGTGTGTATTTATATGCATACTGAGGGGTATTTGGGGACCCCAATAAAATATCTGAGAGGGCCAGGCCTCCCCACAATTGATGGGTATTTAAATATAATGGAATACATGGGAAATAATTGTGTATAGCTGAAAACGTAGGCAGCATTGAGATAAATTCAGCTGTGTAAATAGGTTTTGGTGGATGCAATAATCATGGAATACTGAATGGTATACTTTTTGTAAAATATGCAGGGATTTATGACATGTAAAATGAACCATAAGAAGAGAAAAAGGGAAGTCATTGATATCTTAAAGATATAAAATTAGTATTTTAAATGGCAAAACAGAAAATTTAATAAAATTTTAAATGCACACACACACACACACAAACAAAGTTGATGGGCACTGCAATTCAGATGGTGCATGTTGCACACCACATCATGTGACTGATTGTGCAGAGTGGGGATTACCTCCCCCCCCCATATTTTATTCCAAGTTGACACCCCTGTATCTATCTATCTATGAAATACCAGAGTGGTAGCCCCGTTTGTCTGTTGCAGCAAAATAACCTCCACGTGGCACCTTAAAGAGCAAACAAATAAGCTTTTGCTAGTCTACCCAGTACATGTGTACATATTTGTGGTTTAGTATTCATAAGCAGCGTAGAAGGGTTTAAAATGTGGCCATTTGTATCCTGATTTAGGCTCGGCTGATCTCAGCCTGGTTTCCCAGTGGTGCACCTTTCCTGGAAGCAGTCATGCAAATGTGACCCCAGAATCACAACATAGTAGAGTTGGAAGGGACCACAAGGGTCATCTAGTCCAACAATGCAGGGATCTTTTGCCTAACGTGGGACTTGAACCCGCGACCCTGAGGTTAAGAGTCTCAGGCTCTGCCGCATGTTAGTATGATTGTTGTTTACATTTCCTCATTTTTACAAGCAAGCTTTGTATCTCTACAAGGAAGCTTTGTATCTCTATGTTTAGCTTGTTATCCTTTTATCTATAGATGGAATGTATTTAAAAGAGCCTTTCTTAGGACCAGCATATTTACCATTTGTGAGGCTAATAGTCCAGTCCTGCGCAGGTCTACTCAGAAGTAAGCTCCATTGAATTCAAGTGGGACTTTGGCAAGTGAGTGGAGGACTTTAGCAGAAACAGGGAACATAGGAATATGCACACTGGACAGTTCTCTTCCTTCCTGTGTTGTTCATTTCTGCTTCACTCCACCTTTGCCCAGCTGAACCCTCACAAAGACAAAATATTAAAATTGCTATGCCCATTATTGTCCAGGTTGGTCAGATTTTAAAAAAGAAAAGAGGATAGTGTTCCTGCATCTTTAGTAATTGTTCAGTAGAGGGACTCTCATGCTCCCTACAAACTACAATTCTATGATTCTGTTAAATATACGGAAGCACTGTCCTCTTTTTCAAAATCTTGGCCACTTTACAAGAGGTTGAAACAAGGTTTGATAGTTCCTGGGTAGACTATAGCACAGGCATAGGCAAACTCGACCCTCCAGTGCTGGTCCTGTTAGCTGGGGATGATGGGAGTTGTAGTCGCAAAACATCTGGAGGGCCGAGTTTGCCTATGCCTGCTATAGCAGTTTTATTTTTATAAAGTGAAAATGAAAAACCTGCTTTCAGTGCAAGTATGCATATCTGAGACATATTAAAATGTTCTTCAATTACAGAGAAAAACCTTTTACTTGATGTATCTGGTAAAAGCACTGATTCAGTTTAGAGATGCACTGTAGGGATATCTAGATTATTTAATATTTGCCTAGATGTTGTTTAGCCATCATTTAAAAGAAACTTTGTGTTTGAATTTAAAACAATAGAAATAATACAGTTCCTATTTTTAATTGTTTTTCTCCACCCTGATAAATGAGTGCAGAGGAAGAGAGGGAAAAGACGGTTTGGTCAAGTGTTAATGGGATGCAAAAAATAAAAATCGATTAAAGCACAAAAACACACACACTTAAGATTTTAAACTACATGACTTTTCCATGTTTTCTTCAATGCTTTACAGATTTTTTGACTCCTCCTCCCCCAGCTGTTTCTGGACAGATGAAAAGCTGTGAATATTTTGAGATATGGCAGGTGAGATAAGATTTTTGAAAAATGTTTTGGAGAGAAGATGAAGCAAGAACAGCAGTTTACTGGTCTTTCTGCACTTTGCATACAGCTTGTCCCTTTAGTTTGTTTACATATTAGTCTACTTTTGGGTGATGTTAAAAAACCCTGCGGTTATACAGCACTGTCTCGTGGTTTGCATGCAGCTGAGATCTTCCTTTTTAATGCTAACTGTAAAATATAGAGATGACTTTGCAAAACATTGTGCACATCTCTCATTTCTTATTACTTCTTGTTAATTTCATAAATTGCACCTTTCATCTCAGTCCATTCTTTCCCCTAAATTGCTTAACTTTTTAGTCTCCTTCCAGTTTTCTCTAGTTTCCTTACCTTTATTATTGCCACTGTACTAGAACTGAAGAATGCATTTCCCCACTATGTAATAAAATAAATCATTTGATTATTTAGATGACTCAGAATATTGGACTGTTCGTTATGTGTAGAAATAGGCACTGTCTGACTGATCTTTTGAGGCTCAGTAATTTAGGCTTAGGGTATCACTTAAACTTACAGTATAGATGTGGTTATATTTTTATATTAGAAAGATTTAGGTAAAGATAAAGGGACCCCTAACCATTAGGTCCAGTCACGGACGACTCTGGGGTTGTGGCGCTCATCTCGGTTTACTGGCCGAGGGAGTTGACGTACAGCTTCTGGGTCATGTGGCCAGCATGACTAAGCTGCTTCTGGCGAACCAGAGCAGCACATGGAGCAGTTTACCTTCATGCCAGAGCGGTACCTATTTATCTACTTGAACTTTGATGTGCTTTGGAACTGCTAGGTTGGCAGGAGCAGGGACCGAGCAACAGGAGCTCACCCTGTCGTGGGGATTCGAACCTCTGACTTTCTGATCGGCAAGCCCTAGGCTCTGTGTACATAAAAATAAATGGTTACATAATTTCCAGTAATATATAAAGAGAAGCATGGTATTCAAATATGATATTTCATTTGATGTATTAGAAGATAAATATAATATACTTGAGACTTTGAGTTGGTGTGCCCTATTGGCAGGGAAATCTAAAAACAGGAATGGTATCAAACCTGGTGATAGAACTGTCAGTTAAAGTCATATATTACCTGATTATGTCAAACTTTATTTTGGTTTTCCAGGTAGGAGAGTTTCATCTTTGTCAACAAAATTTCTAGATGTAGACCTGAAGATTACTGACGTAAACTACCATCCAAAAGAAGTTCTTGTGAAATTTCAAGGCAGATACAACACAGATTGTGAGTTTGATTACCATATATTGCAAAATGAAATACAGCAGGTATCCAAAGTGAAAGACAGTGTTGGGATTGGCGAGTTTTGTTTAGTAGAAGACTCTGCTTGTGGAGAATGGTACAGAGGAAGAGTAGTACAAAAGAAGAACTACATCTATGAAGTATTTCTTATGGATAGTGGGAAAATCCTGGCAGTTGATGAGACACATATTGCTTCTGCTATTGATGAGTTGTTTCAACTTCCTCCCAAGATGGTTTGTGGAATTTTTGGAAATATACTTCCAATTGAAGAAAAATGGACTCCAAAAGCTCTGAATTACTTTTCGTCATTAATAGATTTGCAGATTAAAGGCCAAATACAAGCCATTCTACCACACCAAACATTTCTGCTTGACGTGCCAAAAATCACTAGTGATGTGGTTGAATTAAAATTAGGCAAACTTGTTGATGGAGATACATTCTGTCTTATTGTAGAAATGTTAACTGAATTGCCACAAGAGCTGCTTTGTAAACAGATGCCAGACTTACTGCAACAAAAATATACGAGGCCGGATTCTGTATTATGTAATGATCGAATTCAATCAGAAGTTCAACCAATTATGAATAACCTTCAGCCGCTTTTATCTGTTGGTGGGATAGAGAAAGTAAAAATATCAGTGGCAGTCAGTCCAAGTAAATTTTATTGTCAACTGCTGCAATACCAGGTGGAGATGGATGAGTTGACAGCAAACATGTCTTCCTGTTACGAAACTAGTACAGAAAATGTTCCATCCTGTGAGAATCTAGGAGTCCTCTGTGCAGCAAGACGGAGAAATGGACAGTGGCATAGAGGAGTGATACAACAGCTGCTTTCTGATAACAAAGTGAATATTTGGTTTATGGATTTTGGCAGCTATGAAGCTGTGCCTTCCAGTTGTGTTTTAAAGCTTCAACCAGAATTCATGTCAGTACCTAGGTTTTCAGTTCCTTGTGCACTTTCCTGTCTTAGTTCTCAGGATGAAACTGTAAGAAACGATCAACTAAAAGAATTCAAGGAGGCCTTGTTAAGACAAAGTGTTGTTCATGCCCGCATTGATTTATTCAATGCTGATGAACATTTGTATTATGTTACACTTCTTAAACAAGAGTCTGCAATGCATTATGAACATCTACCACAGGGGAGTGAATTGATTCTAAAACTTGACCCATCCTTTAAGACCAAAAAATCCTGTACAGGTGAGGATATCAAAATCTCTGATACAGATCCTGTTTATGCCGACTCTGTTCATAGGAATACTGTACAATCAGGAGATGATTCAGATTCAAAAGGCACTCATTTAATGTGTTCTCCTTTAAGAATTCCTTACAAGAGAGCAGAAATGCAAATCGGTTCTGTCTGTGTTGCTTTTGTGGTATATGTCTTGAATCCATCAAATTTTTGGGTTCAAACTATTGACTGTCGAGATGAGTTTGAAGCCTTGATGAAGAAAATTGCAGCTGTGTATGATACAAGTGAAACTGTTGATAAGATTCTAGAAAACCCAGAACCTGGAAAACTATGCTGTGCCCGGTATAGTAAGGATATGCATTACTACAGAGCTGTTATCAGGGAAGTGATGGACAATAGTATTGATGTTTGTTTTTTAGATTTTGGCAATACTGAAACTGTACCACTCTTCAATGTGAGAGTTTTGCTTCCAGAGTTTCTAGAATTACCAGCTTTAGCCGTTTGTTGTTCACTTGCTAACGCATTTCCAATCGAGGACATATGGATTAAAAAAGAAACTGACTTCTTTAAAAGCATTGTGCTCGACAAACCGCTCACACTGCATGTAATTGCACAAAAAACCAATAAGTATATTGTCAGTGTGCAGTATATGAATGACTCAGAACAAACTGATGTTGTTTTGTCCATGGTTCAGGCTGGATATGCGGAATATTGGGAAGTAAAGCAAGATCCCTTTCAGAACATTGTGGGAGATTCTAAAATGCAATGTTTAAAACAAAAGATACATAAAAAGAGTTGGCAGAAGAAGAATAAATTGCGGAGTCCTCGGACAAAAGAGCATGCTGTTACCTTCCCGCGGTGGGAAAACACTCTTTCAGATAAATTGGGAAACACATCTGGGAAAGGTGATACCCCGAAGCCTTATAAGGAGTATCGGTTTAAACCAGGAACTGTATTTGATGTCGTATGTTGTCGTAGTACGTCACCAGGTAACTTTTTCTGTCAGATGCGATCTAAACTGCCAGAGCTATTTAACTTGATGCAACAAATTCAGTATTATTACAACACTCAAAAAAGCCCATATGAACTTGGACAACATGCCTGTGTTGTGAAACATTCTAAGGATGGGAAGTGGTACAGAGCTGCTGTACAGCAACATGTGTCCGAGACAGAAGTTGATGTAGTATTTGTAGACTATGGTAACCAGGAAAGAGTTTTGTCAAAAGACCTCCAAGCTATTCTTCCAGAATATCTGGTCTTAGAATGTCAAACATTCAGATGTTGTCTTAATACGGTCACTGAATCCTTAACGTTTGACCCGTACAATTGGACTGCAGAGGCATGTAGAGATTTTGAGCGCTTTGTTTCCTCTTCTAATGATCTGCTGACCTGTACGATTTCTGCCCTAATTCTTCGGAGCCCCAACTATTTATATAATATTGTTGACTTACAGACTCCATTCACTACTTCGCAGCAGTTTCTCTTAGAATGTGGTCATGCCCAGTCTCGCTCTTTTGAATTCGCAAGGTCCCTTGTTCCGCCATTCTCTCTGTACACATTTTACTATTCATCTTTTAACATGAAAATTGGAAACGAAGAAGGGGTTTGTATAACACATATATACAGCCCTACAAAATTCTATTGCCAACTAAACAGAAATGTAGGTGCTATAGACAAACTGTTTGAAAAGATTGCAGAGGTTAGTCAAATGACAGGCTATACAGACCAGCTAAACACTTGCAATTTATACTTAGCAAAATATTTTGAAGATGGCCTCTTCTACAGAGCTTTAGCATCTCCTATGGGCTCATCAGATTACTTGCAAGTATACTTTGTAGACTTTGGGAATAAACAATCAGTAGCAAAAAGAGAAATGATTCCTATTCCAAATCATGCTTCAGAATTATTATTTACTCCTATGCAAGCTATCAAGTGTTACCTTTCAGATCTAAAAGATGTTGAAATTACAACTGAAATAAATACATGGTTTGAGAAGAATTACTCGGGGAAAGAAATGAAGGCGGTAATCGTATCTAAGGAATCTGATGGGCAGCTTGGTGTGGAGTTGTATGATGGAGATCTACAGATAAATAGGAAGATTAAAGAATTATTGAAGCACACACAAAAATATGGTGTTGACCCCAAAATTATAAACACACCTGCAGAAAAGACTGTTGGAGACAAAAACGTGTTGCATAAAGTCAAGTCAGAACCAGTTAAAAGAAAAATTAAAAATGAAGTAGTTGGTTGGAAGAGAGAAGCAGAAAATGAAGCAAATCCTGGCCATCAGAGTGCTGGAAAAGAAATTGCAATTGATCTGCAGAAACAGAGTACAAGGTCTGTAAAGCTCCCAGCAGCCTCAGATAATACAGAATTGGCCTTGCAAAGCAATCCGAGACAGAGATGCAGAGATACATATTGTGAATCTTGGCCTGAGTGTGATAGCCCTCCTCGGGGTTTGAAGAAGATGCCTCCAGATAAAGAGTTGCAGATCTTGAAACACAAATATTTTGGAGAAGAAAGGTGTAGTGGTACCAGGAAAAAGTACACAAACCTTCCGCAGCCTCATATCCAGGCAAATTCCAAAATGTTAGTTTATATTTCTTCTATAACTAGCATGTCAAGTTTCTATATTCATCGTGCTGAGGATGAGAATGAAATTGTGCAGCTTGCTGAGAAGCTGAATGGAGACTCACTGGTTCTAGAGCCAGAAACACATGCCGAACTCGAGGAAGGTGACATGGTTTTAGCAGAGTATGAAGCTGATTGCTGCACATATAGAGCTGCCATTAGAGGTATTAAATCAGAAAAATCTTTTGAAGTAGAGTTCATTGACTATGGTAACTCATCAACTGTGAATGCATCAAAAATATACAAGATGGAAAAGGTTTTCTTAAATTTTCCAAGATTCAGCATACACTGTTTTCTTAGCAAAGCAAGATATGCATTTCCAGATAAAAGTTGCAGTAGCGATATGGCTGCCTGCATTGCCAGTAAAGTAAATAATCAACTATTAGCGTTAGAGTTTTTACAACAGCATGGTGAACAGTGGGAGGTTGATGTATTCTGCCATGAAATGTCTATGATCAATGAGTTAAGTTTACAGAATATGAGTCTGTTACATCTTGATGAAGTCGTAAAACATCTTCCAATAACAGATGTAGTTACTGATGGTAATGACCAAAGTAAAAAATCAGAAAGCCGAAATGTGTCTGAAGTATTAATAAAAGCTGGACATCCCTGGGAGAGCCACCCTAAGATTCCCTGCCAAAAAATAAAGCCTGGACAGCTAGAATTGGCTGAAATAGGTCACATTTCAAGAGATGGACATTTCTATATAAAATTGAAGAAGGATGCACAAATATTTTTTGACTTAAACGTGATGACTACCCAAGAAGCTGAGAAGAACTCCTTGCTTGCAGTGGAAAATATTCAAGAAGGGTTAGAATGTTTGACAAAATCAAAAGAGACCTTGAAATGGTATCGATCTGAAGTTATTAAAAAGTATGTGAATGAGGGTCACATGTTAGTTTTTTTCATGGACTTGGGAGAATATGAAATGGTGTCATTTCATGACACACAGATACTTAGTGACAAGTTCAGGAGTATTCCCCGGAATGCAATGCCTTGTAAATGGTCTTGGGCTGAAAACCTAGTGGACATGTCTCTTGAGAGCGTGTTGAAGATTATAAAATGCCATGAGATCAAGATCTTGTTTCTGAGATACCTAGAATCTACTTTTATGTGGGAAGTGGATATTTTAATAGATGGGATTCTGCTTTTGGAATACTGGAATCAAAGATCTTACCAAAGGGTGCTGGAGAAATGTAACTCACCAGAAAATATAAAAATGAGCAAAACAATGCCTACATTGTCATTCAGACCAAATTCTGTTTCCTGGGCACCATTCCAGAACGATCGGTATTATCCTGGGTTTGTGACGTCTGTCACTGATCCTTCAAACTTCTGTATTCAGTTAGAAGACTCATTTAAGTCTCTAAACGCTTTGTTCAAGTTACTCTCTGACCTTCCAGAAAACCTGCCTACAATTCCACAGGAGCTTGTCGTTCCTGGTACCAGTTGTTTGATAAAGATTGGATCTAATGAAAAGTGGAACAGAGTTGAAGTTTCTGAAGTCTCCAAACTCTCTAATCTCTTAATAGTTACTTTTATTGATGATGGGTTATCAGTTCCCATCCCCATTTCTAATAGTCACAAGCTGAAAGTTATCCCAGAAGAGCTTGCAAAATTACCTCGATTAACTTATCCTTGCTCTTTGTTTGGAGTGTCACCTGCTGATGGGGAACACTGGAGTGATGAGGCAAAGCTTAAAATTCAAGAACTTCTTAGTAGACAAGGTCTCACATTTAAGCTGAAACAGTGCCACAGTGGGCAGAAGCTAGAGGCTGTTGTGTTATGTGACAAGAACAATGCAGCAGATATATTGGTTGCTTCCAGATGTGCTGTGTATTCAAAAACTCCATATTCATTTGGTTCAATTAATAGTGCAGAGCTTCATCCATTGAATTCACAGATATTATGTGATTCATCACAAATATGCGGTCAGAAGAATTTGAATGCACAGATTGCTCTGCTGTCAGTTGAGGGGGGAAAGCCACAAAATTCAAGTTTGCAACTCAGTTGTGCTTGTGTTAATGTTTCGAGAGGGAACAGCTCAAAAGGACTGTGTTCAAAGAGAAAAGAGTGGCACAAAGCTTGCTTGCACATTAATGGAAGAATGACTGAAACTCGGCTTAAGTACGACAAGAGATTTTGTGAGAGAGAAAGGCGACTGTATAGTACAGGCATACTGTCAGAATCAATCCACGAAATGCATGATCTTATGGGACTGAGCACCAAGATTGATGGGATGCAAATTTATGAAGAGAGCCAATCACATGAATGCTTCACTAGAAAGGTCAGTTTCAAATATCTTTTAAATCTACCCTTGTTCTTTCCTATGTATTTAATAAGAAACCCAGATGTAAATGCAATGAAGCCTGGGATCCAAGGAATTATGTACTTAATTTTCTATGCCCAAGTAGGGGGCACTGTGAGCTTCCATGAACACTGGGATCAGTTGCCCGTAGTAGTAGTAGTAGTAGTAGTAGTAGTAGTAATATTTATTATTTATACCCATGCCATCTGGCTGGGTTTCACCAGCAACTCTGGGTGGCTTCCAGCACATAGAAAAATGATAAAATGTCAGACATTAAAAACTTCCCAATAGAGAGCTGCCTTCAGATGTCTTCTAAAAGTTGTGTAGTTCTTTATATCGACACCTGATGGGAGAGCGTTCCACAGGAAGGGCACCACTGCCGAGAAGTCCTCTGCCTGGTTCCCTGTAACATTTCAGTGAGGGAACCGCCAAAAGACCCTCAAAGGTGGACCTCAATGTCCAGACTGAACAATGAGGTGGAGACACTCCTTCAGGTATGTTAGACTGATGTCATTTAATCCAATGTGGTTTACACCAAACCTCTTTAAGGTGTATGTGTGTAAATTTAAAGCAGAACATGGATTTAGGATGGGATATGAATCCTTCCTCCACAGTTGCTTTTCTTTAAATTTCCTTTTAAAGCTGCTTTCCCCCCCCCCCTATAGGGCTTACTTGCAATCTAATAGGCCCATTAGAAGGGGGAAAAAATTTTAGAGAAGGAAATAGGGGCATGTTTGTTCAGGAAAAGTCTTAGTCATTGTCATATTCATAATAAATTCTTCACTTTCACACTCACAAATTCCTCTTCGTAGGAATTAAAAAGTGATCTAGTCTTGACACTTAAGTTTGGTTTGGCCCCAATATTCTATCCACATGAATGTGACTCTGTGCAGTTCCAGTTTGGCAACAGCCCAGTGAAAACTTCATGTATTTCATGTAAGTGATTATGCAAAGTCCCCACATATGTAAGGCATGTCTTTGAAGTCATGCACAAAGAATTTCTGGTCAGTTGTTGTTTTTGAAAATGTTTCATTTGCTGTCTACATAGAGCATCACTTTACATTAAACCTAGGCAGTTTATTGTGTTTGTTTTGTCCCCTAATCATGTATTGATAATTACTTGCTTTCCAGGTTAAAAACTGATAAGAAGAACTTCAACAGTTGGAAACAAGTAATGGATCTGGATGCCAGTCAGCGCATCAACTTTCTTGAGAGAAATTTTAAAAGGAATTATTTAAAAGGAATTACACTTCCGTAATCACAAAAATAACAGCAACCCATGAACCCGAAACATTTGTAACAGGTCTACAAGGTTGACCTTAAGCTTGCAGCTTTTTGTTAATTTTCTCTTGATTTAATATTTGCTCTTGTAATGATCAAAAGGGAGTGGTATCCTTGCCAACAAGTGCACAATGGTCCTCTTACATAACGTTTCACCACCATTTTATTTTATTATTGAAATTTATACTAATACATAACAGTCATTTGTAAGTTTTGTCTGGTTTTCAAAAATAACCAGCGTCAACCAACCAGATTCTGAGACATTGCAATAAATGTTCTACATGGTTTGATTGATGTACTCAAGTTGGAATTGCTCATGTATTGGTTTTCATAAGGGAAAGTAGTGTGAGAAGCAACAGTTTTTTGTTTTGACATTTGCTGAGTTTTGTGGGTGTTTTCTTTAAACACACTGTTATGGGAACTGCGCCTACCAAGGACTGCCAGTCTAATGTTTACCAACCAAAAAAGCTTGATCTGACCTAAACTTCATAGGAAGTTGGTCTTTTGATTTCAGTGGAACTTATTTCCAAGTAAGTGCATTTGCTGAATGCAAATATAGTTGCGAACTACCACACGTTTTGGCATTTTCAGTGTTTCTTTTTACAATCCTCTGCTTAACTCACACATTAATTAGGACCCAACACACACACACATGTTTACATGCAAAACAGTGTGAGCAAACTCCACAATACATTTTATTGTGTGTGTGTCATATTGTAATAGGAAAAGCTGTAATACATGAATATTAAGTTATTAAGTCATAAGGAAAAGTAGTGCTGAATATTGATTTGTGTTTTAGCTGTCTTTCCTTTTTTAATTTTCTTTGTGTATGTTATTTGATTAGTCATAACGCTGATGCTTACATCACACAGGTATAAATGTATGTGTATCAGGTGTCCAGGGAGCCTCATACGTGTACCAGGGCACGCTGAATCTCACATTTCTACTGCTGAAAGTCATGCTGCACTGGATCCCAATTGTGAAGGTTTCCCAACTTAGTGGAGTTCCATTGAGAAGTGGAAGTTCTGCCTATAGCTCAGTTTATTCTGAGACACATGTACACCTCTCCAGTCTGCTAATATACTTGATCTGCAGCATGTCTTATAATCTGCTGGTTAATTTCCAGAAATGGCTGGTATATTTTAACCAATGAATCCGTCTTGTTTGTGCCTATGTGATTTGTTTAACACAATTGGCTTTAAAAGTGTTCCCACATTTTTCTTTTGATGGGACAAACAGGAGATTGGTTGCTTCTGCATCTTCATCTATAGGAACTAGAATTGTGTGTTGATGTACTATCGTATACGTCAGAATTTTCAAAGTAATCCAGTTGCTGGATTTTATTCAGCTACCAATTTAGCTTGTATGCTAGGAAATATGCATGTAGCATAAAAATTATGCACATTCTTATTGAACCTACTAGAAAAAAGCAGGCCTTTAAAATTTGTATTTTAAGTTTTGCAGGATATATGTAAACTCTGTACATACTTTGTTTACTGAAATGAGAGTGCTCTTTTATTTAAACTGATGGTAACAACAATAAATCTGTGGTAAAGGTTTAGGTTGTCTATTGCTTTCTAGTACAACACTGTCCTAGCACTTGCTGAAAGCTTACTTAGTAGAAACAAATATAAAATTAAGTCCTGCTGCAATCAAATAAATGCTACTTTTACATAAGGTATCAGGGACAGCGGTGTTTTCATGCCAAGTAAAGCAGTCATAATATACAGTAAATCATATAGCTGCTGCTGCTGTTCGGAGTCATTTGGTGCTGTTTCAGTATTAAAAGCAGGAAGCAGTTGGCATTGGGGTTTTTTCCAGGGTTTGTTGTGAAGACATTGTTGGTATTTAAGTACTGCTGTACTTTTTTCTGGGGGAGTATAAGGACCAGCAACCAGTGTAAATCTGCAGTAAACAAGAAACACTACAAGGTACGCTTAGATTTTAAATACACACTTTCTCTTTATTAATGAGAAGCCCAGAATGACTCTCACAATTGAAGGTCAAGTACAACAGTAAATCATTATACTAAATTGACTGCAAAAAGAAAAAAGAAAAAGCATCCCTTAAAGGAGGAAATTGCTTTACAAAAAGTTGTTGAAAAGCCAAGTCAGGAGGGTCATATTTCTCCCAAACGCTTGGGAAATGTTGAAGACCACAGCATTAGAAGCTCAACCCGAGTGTATACCAGAGATTGTGAAAGGTACCGCCAGGGCCAAGAGGATGCCAGCAAACAAAGAGTCAAAGAAGCTGTTGGCTTTCGCCTTGGGTGGCTTTAAAAGAAGGTAAGATAAATTCATAGAGGATAAGTTTATCATTGTGGGACGCGGGTGGCGCTGTGGGTTAAAGCCTCAGCGCCTAGGACTTGCCGATCGAAAGGTCGGCGGTTCGAATCCCCGCGGCGGGGTGCACTCCTGTCGCTCGGTCCCAGCGCCTGCCAACCTAGCAGTTCGAAAGCACCCCTGGGTGCAAGTAGATAAATAGGGACCGCTTACTAGCGGGAAGGTAAACGGCGTTTCCGTGTGTGCTGCGCTGGCTCGCCAGATGCAGCTTGTCACGCTGGCCACGTGACCCGGAAGTGTCTGTGGACAGCGCTGGCCCCCGGCCTATAGAGTGAGATGGGTGCACAACCCTAGAGTCTGTCAAGACTGGCCCGTATGGGCAGGGGTACCTTTACCTTTACCTTAAGTTTATCATTGGCTATTGAACCTGAGGATGTAGTCTTTCTACAGTCAGAAATGACCCTGAATACCAGTTGCTGGAAACCTCAGCGGTGGAGAGTGGGCTTGCCATAGGCATCTGATTGGCTTATATCGACTAACTGACCACCTAATGGGTTCTGAGCATCCTTAGATTTTGAGCATAAAGCCTGATACCTCCCCAAACATAGCCATCCATGAGGCTACAGCGGCCACTTGGCAGCCTGCTATTCTCCCTTTGATACAATATATCCCTCTAGCTCTTGGCAAGAAAACGAGTCCCTTTTGAGTATGCCCTCTTGTTTGAAATGATAAAACATTCTTAGAATAACCTTTGCCACATAAGGGACGTGCTTTCTCTGCAAGCAGTAAGCAATGGTCTAAATATTTTCTTTAAAAATCCACAGCAACACAGTGGGTTTAGCTAAAGTTTTTCTTAGAGTCATTTTGTGGCCTGGCCCAAGAAACTTCTTGGAGGACGTTCCATATGTGCATCCTCTGCTCAACACCTGCTGCTGAATGAAATTCCAGAGGACCTCTTGATGTGGCAGTCGCAGGATATGTGCCCCACCCGTAGCAGCGCTGGAAAGCAGTCCAAACACATTTTGGGGTTAAAGTGGGCTGCAGCTTTCTAGGAGTACAACAAGGAAGCAGGGTTGGCATGGCAGCTGGCCAGGGATCTGGTTTCCTATTCTGACAAATTAGAATGCATGTCCCAACTTGCCACCTGGGCAACTCCCTTGGGAGCTGGCCAGTGTTGGACACCAGTTTTGCACAGGCAATGGTTTGGGGAGGTGGAGCTTTGCTTTGGAAACTGCTGCTGAAACCGGTCCAGTTGTTGCCCATAGAAGCACACTCCACTACCCGACTTGCTTAACTCCACTCACTGTTGAGTTGTTCTTCCACAAGAGCTTCCTCCCAGCTTGCTTTTCTAGAAATTGAGACTTTAAATGGGAAGCAAGGTAGCGGCAGCCATAGAGGAACTAATTTGAACTGCCCGGTGCTAATGTAACCTTTTCTTCTACTTGGCAAGTAATTTTTTTAACTCCTGTGATATTTCCCTCTCTACTATCGAGGGCACAGCAAGAGCTTTTGCATTTGAGGGTATAGTGTGACTGATTCAACTTACTCCCCACAGCAGCAGCCTTTATCGTTCAGGGCTGGAGGGAGCATATCTGAAGGAAGACACGAAGGATGTTCACTCTTTGACAGAACATTTTGGTCCTAAAACAGCACAAAAAATCTCTTGCTTAGTGCTAAATTCGTTTTAGCAATCACAGTGATTGATAGGGTAATGCTTTTCAGTAGGTTATTCCTCTAACATCATCATTATTTATCAACCCAATTAATGTTAATAATATTAGTTATGTCATAGAATGATATATATAATGAGAATATCCTTTGATCATAACCAAAGCCCTGCTTAGGGATTCTTCCTACTACATGATTTCCATTGTATTTGCAGTATGTCTCTGTGTGTGTGTGTGGGGGGGGGGTTATAGCTCTTGTAAAATATATGCTTAATGTGCATTAAACACTGTGTGTATAAAATATTTGTGTGCATTTGAAGAATGTTTGCAGAGAACTAGCAAGCACAGAATGTACTTGTGCAGCTGTAGCTGCAAAATGAGGGTGGAGTCTTTGTTTTAGTGTTTATGACAAATCTCTGGGAATCTGAGTCTCTCTCGGAAGCTGACAGCATACTGAGGAAGCAACTTGCTGATCTGAATCTCTGTCTAGGACCAAAGAAGCAAATGAGAACTAAGAGAAAGCTGGACTACATTGCTAATTGTTTAAGAGCAATGCAGTGTGTTGATTTGTATTTACAATGACTTTTTTTGGTAACAAGCTTAAAGACAGTTGGCTGTAAAAATTGCTAGTTGTTTAAGAGCAATGCGTTGTTTTGTATTTACAATGGATTTATTTTGTAACAAGTTTTAAGACAGTTTGCCATAAAACTTTGGAACACTTCTCTTGATGTGCAGAGCTTATTGATTCATAACTCAGCACAAGGTCCAGGTCAGGGAATTCGGCTCACATCACTCTAATAGTCCTTGCTCCCCACTCCACTATTTTTGTGTCTGCAGCTCTCAGCATTGGGGTTGAGCTTATGCAGCAGGGAGCCTGCATTCCAAGTTGCATGGGGAAACTGCATAAGCAGAGCAGACTCAGGCAGTAACTGTCCCTGGAAAATAGGGACACTTGGAGAGTCTGGGGTTCAAGAGATGGATATGATTCCTATAGCTCAGTCAGCAGATAGACTCATGTCATGCAAAGCGAGATATGTCAAGCCTTTATTTGTTATAATTGTGATGATCATGGCGTACAGCTGATGAAAACCCCAAATTAACAATCTCAGAAAATTAGAATATTAAATGAAATCAGCAAAACAGGGATTGCAAATAGAGCAATATTGGACCTCTGAGAAGTAGACGCATGCATATGTACTCAGTACTTGGTTTGGGCCCCTTTTGCATCAATTATTGCCTCAATGCGACGTGGCATGGATGCTATCAGCCTGTGGCACTGCTGAGGTGTTATGGAAGACCAGGATGCTTCAATAGCAGCCTTCAGCTCTTCTGTATTGCTCGGTCTCATATCTCTTATCTTTCTCTTGGCAATGCCCCATACATTCTCTATGGGGTTCAGGTCAGGCGGATTTGCTGGCCAATCAAGCACAGTAATCCAATTGAACCAGGTTTTGGTACTTCTGGCAGTGTGGGCAGGTGCCAAAGTCCTGCTGGAAAATGAAGTCGGCATGCGGAAAGAAGCATGAAGTGCTCCAAAATCTCCTGGTAGATGGCTGCATTGACCCTGGATTTAATGAAAGCACAGTGGACCAACACCAGCTGATGACATGGCTCCCCAAATCAACACAGACTGTGGAAACGTCACACTGGACTTCAAGCACCTGGCATTGTGTGCCTCCCCATTCTTCCTCCAGACTCTGGGTCCTTGGTTTCCAAATGAGATGCAAAAGCTGCTCTCATCAGAAAAAATTGTGGTTTTCATCAGCTATACGCCATGATCATCACAATTATAACAAATAAAGGCTTGACATATCTCGCTTTGCATGTCATGAGTCTATCTTATATATTAGTTTCACCTTTTAAGCTGAATTACTGAAATAAATGAACTTTTCCACGACATTCTAATTTTCCGAGTTTCACCTGTATATCAAGAGAAGGAGCCTGTTGATTCTGGCCGCTCTTACCTCCTGCCTCCCCCTTCGAGGCAGCAGAGGTCCCTGCTTCTCAATGTAAGCTCCTTGTCACACTCCTACGAGTTTTCAGATGCACCTTGGCATATTAAAATGACAACTGTGGCATCAAAGATCATGGTTGGCTATAGCTGTGGTAGGCTAATGTTGACCTAGTCCTACAGAACTGCCTCTGTGATGTAATGGATAGAGTTGGACTTGGACCTGAGAGACCAGGATTCCCACTCAGGTGTAAAATTCATTGGGTGACCTTGGGCCACTCACTGACTCTCAGCCTAACTTACCTCACAGGGTTGTTGTGAGGGTGAAATGTGGGAGAACCATGTACACCACCACAAGGTTCTTGGCGGGAAAAGTGGTATATTAACGCAATAAAATAAATGAAAATATTTACACTGTCCTTCAGCACCCGAGACTAGATTTTGCCCGATGAATTTGATATCGCCCAATTCCCACACGAAATGTCCTGATGCTCGTGTCTTGATGCCTAGGCTGAACTGTAGACATCCTCTGTATTTCGTACTTTTCTGAACGTTGCAGTGAAGTTCTTTTGACAGTTTAAAGGTATCAAACTTTCCTTTAAAACGTTCGCAGAGGCATTCAGTGGCTGGAAGATACTGTTCCTGGCAACCCTGCTGTC